GTATTTCATATCAAGTGTTTGTTGTTGATTTTTAAATAATTATTTAACCCTACATTCATAAAAATGCTGCCACGATGCATGTTAAGGGTTAATATTTATAGAAAATTCAAGTCTTAATCGTTGCAATTGTTTGCAATTTAAGCCAAATATACGCAAAGATTCAGATAATGAGTTCTCGCCATCATTTAAATGTAAACCGATTGTTACTTCTTGTAATTGTGTTAATCGTGACAATTGTATAGACAATACGTTGAGAGAATTAGCATGGTTAATTCTTAAATCAAGACTTTTGAGAGATTGATTGTGTGCCACAAATGCAGACAACTGTTCCTTATTATCATTTAAAGTGTAATAAAATTTAAATTTCTTCAAATTATTTGCCAATAATTTTTTAGAAGTAATATCGAAGACGTCAGACAACGAGTGGACACATAATGGCGTAATATTTAGGCAATTATTGATGGGTTGGTCTATATTGGAGTTATTAATACTAATTTCATTCGCCACTGATTTAAATGCACGGAATATTGCACTCATTTCTATCACTGAATTACATCTAATTTCTCTTAACTGCCGACAATTGGCCCGAAATGTGTTCAACACTTCGAGAATGTGTTCTTCTTTTGTTGACTTTATTTCGCGAAATTCAATGCTTTGAATGTTTGGACACTTTTTGGCAATTCTAGTCAACCCTTCGCTATTGTATTTAATTCTCATTCGCTTTAGAAATATGTCATTGATATCGATGTCTACAACACTCTCGAAGGCTGTCCTCTGGAACTGTTTGGACACACATTCACATCGAAACTTATCTTCGAGTGAGAGATACGATAATATGAGTCCACACATGTCATCACCGAATCTGTCCATTGAGTTCTTTGCGTATAGTTTTAGCTAAAGTGTGAGACAAAAACAGTTAAAACTCAATAAAGATTTAATTATTTATCAAATACTTGTTGTCCGTTGCCTTCATTGCCGTTATCTTTGGTGACGAGTAATGTTTTCATTGATATCATATCTTGGGATTAAACGAAATGATTGTACAAATTGTATAATATTTAATTAACTATAAGTTATATAATATAACATAAAATAATTAAAAACTATATTATAATATATTCTCTTACGGCAATAAAACTTGTTGTCATTGTTTACACGGATTTTAATTGTCTTGAGTTTAGGACTCGAAGATAACACAGCATTCAATTCATTACACGAAAGATTATTAATTAGAAAGCAGTGAAAAACTAGTGTTTTCAGAGCCGGTAGTCTTGAGATGTGATTCAAATATTGAATATTCGTAACGTATTTATTATTCCTAACGAATAGATATTGAATTTGTGACAAATATTTATCACAATTTTCAAAAAACATAATCTCATTAACGCGTAAATCAAGTGTTAAATGCGTTAATCTCTTGCAATCACTCAACGGTTCAAACGATGTGCGATCGATGGCCGCAACGAGTGTTAAATGTAATCGTTTTAATCGGGAATAATATCTCAACGAATCCAATATTTTGTCGGTAATAAACTTAGAATTGGTGCACAACTGAAATGAGAATCGTATTAATTGTTTGCAATTCACGCCAATTGTACGCAAAGCGTCGGATAACCGGTGATAACAACTACATGGCATGATATTTAGTGTTAATTCCCGTAATTGGGGTAATTTTGACAATTGTCGGCCAAATTTAATGATATTTGACTGAGAGTTAAAACTCCACTCTTTAATTGCCAGACATCTGAGAGACTGATTCTTGGTTACAAATGCCGACATTAGGTGATTATCTTCGACCGAATAGTTGCTTAATTCAATTGTATGCAAATTTATAGCCAATAATCGCTCTGAAGGGTAGTCAAAGATTTGCGATAAAGTGGTTGTATTTAATTGTGTCAATCGGTGACAATTAGTTGGACTCTTTCCGCTCCACAGATCACCCATTCGTGTGGTCAGAGGTCCCGACGGAAACATCCATTTGGCGCTCGTTTGACCGAAACTGCAATATATTTCTCGAAAATGTCGGCAATGGTCTTGAAATATGTCATTGATATCGATGTCTACAACACTCTCGAAGGCTGTCCTCTGGAACTGTTTGGACACACATTCACATCGAAACTTATCTTCGAGTGAGAG